GCCAAGCTAAGGGGGACTTTCCCCAAGATCCTTGATCTGAATGTGAGGGCCGGGACCAGGGCCTAGATCTTTCGGCCTAGGACATTTAGTGCCTGCTGTGTGCCTCGTGTCTGGTACTCCCTGCCAGCTGTTTGTGGCTCCCTTGAAGGTCTTCTGCACTTTCTGTAAGGCAGGCTGAGTGTCAGGACAGGGGTGGGGCACACATGCAGCGAAGCAAAAGAATATCGGGGGTGGGGTTTGAGACTTCAGTTCCAGCCCAGGGCCCTCCCTGGTGGCCAGAGAGCCAATGACTCTTTCCCTCCTGCTGTCGGTCCCTTTGCTGAAACCCCAGGTGCTTTTTCTATTCCGGAAAATTTATGTCTCGTGGTTTTGTGGTTGAGAAAAAATGATACTCCCTATGAACGGTACCCTTGTAGGCCCCCGGGGCCGGGCTGGCAGGCCCCGCTGTGGTTTGTCTGGGAAAATAGCCCTTTGGGTGCTTCTGTGACTGTGACCAGCCTTCCAAAAAGTGAGAGCAGGCTTGTTTTGCTCAGATGGAGGGAGGCTGCTGCAGGCCAGGGAGCTCCATCCTTTGTGAATGAGGCTAGCTTTGCTACTTCAGCAGAAGCCAAGCCCCACAGATGCTGTTTCTTTGCAAGCTCTGGGGGGCTAGAAGCCTCCAGGACACCAGACCTGCCCGCAAACAGGTCACGACGCACTGCGTGCCTCCCCCTTTCCTTGCCCGCAGCTGGCCAGGCGTATGGGTTGTTAATGGGGTGCAGTGAGGAGTCACTTCAAGTTCTGCACCGTCCTACCCACGGCCCTGCTTTGTGCTGTCTAGTGGGGATCTCTCGCAGCCTTTTTTTTTTTTTTAATTTTTTTTTTTTCAACGTTTATTTATTTTTGGGACAGAGAGAGACAGAGCATGAACGGGGGAGGGGCAGAGAGAGAGGGAGACACAGAATCGGAAACAGGCTCCAGGCTCCGAGCCATCAGCCCAGAGCCCGACGCGGGGCTCGAACTCCCGGACCGCGAGATCGTGACCTGGCTGAAGTCGGACGCTTAACCGACTGCGCCACCCAGGCGCCCCTTCTCGCAGCCTTTAAGAAAAGCTGCTCATTCCTCTTCTGGGAATTTGCCTCGGTTTTCGAGACTCTCAGGCTCCTGAGCTAACACTTAGGCGGTTGGTATTTTTACTGTCGCTCTGGTAAACGTGTGCCTGCCAGGGCTCCAAGATGGATTGCGTGTTCATTCGTCCGTTCATCCAGCAAAGGTTTTACGGTAGCAAACTGTGCGTCCCAGGAGCGATGCCGGTTCCCGGTGGGGACCCAGGACCCAGACCAGGCACCTGACCTTATGGAGTGTACAGCCTCAAAAAGGAAGCAGACAAGTAAAATGTTAGAATTAGAACTTGGATGTGAGGTCTGGTGGGGGAGACGGACAGCGGGCTAAGGAACAGGGCTGTAGGGGTTGGGCAGGGTATCTAAGCTGAGTTGTGGCTCAGGGGTCATGGGGAAGAGCCTTTTGGGCAGAGGTCCTCGAGGCTGAAAGGGGCCGGATATGTTGGGGGCTGAGGTCGAGAAAGCCCCTGGCTCATTGCTGAGGCCAGGTTGGCCAGTCTTGAAGTTGACCTGGGATGGCCAAAGTCGTATGTAGGGTGGACGTGTTCTTAACTGGCTCCCAGGGGTCTGGTCCTCAGTTCCCAATGCCAGTGGTGGATGGCCCTCCTTGCTGCTGCTCTGAGCGCCTGTGGCCCGACCGTTTTGGTTCATGTGGAAAAGAATGGTTTTGACTCTGTACAGTTAACTTGATGTCTGGCCCTCTCTTCGGTCAGCTCTTCGAAGCTGTGGTTGGAGAGCAGCTTGGGTGGACGGAAGAAGCAGCTGTAAGAAGTGCCCTAACGTGGGGATGAGGCCTGTGGGTTTCCTTCCCACCTTCCTTTTTCAGGCCGTTTGAGCACATGTTATGTGCCAGGTGCAGTAATAGGTGTGTGGGGACAGTCATGAATGAGGTGGACACAGTCCCTGCCCTGACATGTAATAATAGGGGGACTTACGTAGCCTTGGGGGGTTTCCGTACTATCGTTCAATCCCCCCAACAGACCGTGGGCTAGATAACGTCATGCCTACTGTATAGATGAGAGAACCAAAACTCAGAAAAATGAACAAACTTCCCCAAGGTCACATAACTGTTAAAACGGCAAACCTGCATTTGAATCCAGATTTCATTTCAACCCCGAAGCCTGTGCTGTGTCTGCTGCCCTGGGAACTCACCTGTGTCGGGGGCAACTGGGGCCAAAGCTCGAACATGAAGCTGCCGTCCGTGATCAGGGGCTGCTGTAAGAGGTGCAGACGGGGAGACAGGATTGTAACTAGGCCTGGGAAGTCTGCCCAGCCTGCTGTAAGAGGTGTAGACGGGGAGACAGGATTTGTAACTAGGCCTGGAAGTCTGCCCAGCCCCATGGTGCTGGAGGAGGGAGGCGCAATTAGCCACTGCAGGCAGTTTGAGCAAAGGCCCAGGGGTAGGAAAGTACACGAAGTATTTGAGGAATACCTCCTAGGTGAGTGTGTGCCTGCGGGACAGGGTCGGGGGGCAGGGAGCGGAGTGGAGATGAGCCTGGGAAGGAACATAGAGGGCCCTGATTTTGGAATCGGCCTCTGGTCACGCTGGGAGGGATAGATCGTTGTGGGGTGAGGCTGGGCACATGGGTGCCTCTACTGAACCCTGCAGGATGAAAGGGGCACTCACACCTTCTTGTTAGCTGTGCTCTGAAGATGTTCCCCAGGGGACTTAGGCTCCATAATAGGACAGCAAATGTGCTTCTTGTTGGGGTTGCCGGCCTCTGCAGAGAATGTTCGATTAACAGTGTCTGCTTTGGGTACCTGAGGGGCACGTGGCACAGAGGGGCCAGGGGTTTGCCTCTCTGTAGGTTTCACTCAACATCGAAACTGTAAATCGAGTGGCATTGTTTTTGTCCTGCCTCAGTGTTCCCTCCCGAGCACTTGTGCCTGGTGTCCGCGGAGCCCTGTGAAGACAGGAGGACTTCATGGTGCTCAGGGCCTCACGGGGGCGGGCAGTGCCCTTGAGTCTAGCAGATTGTGAGCCTGGGGCCAAACAAGTTGCTGGGGGCACATTTCAGAGAGGCTGACGGAGAAGCAATGGTTTTCTTGTCATTATGGGTCTCATTTCACGCCCCACATCCCTCTGACCACAAGGATTCTTTACCCTGGGGTCTGTGCATAGAATTCAGGGAGTCCGCGAATTTGGAGGGGGAATACATGGAGCCTTTATTTTCATTAACCTTAACTGAAATTTAATATGTTACTCAGTTTGGATGTAGGCAACAAGGCCCAATCATCTTAGCAAACATGTGCGACTCTGTCACCAGCAAAAAGCACAGCTGTGTGCATATCACGTTACAGTTGTGGCCATATCTAAAAAAGTAGTTGACACGTCGCAGCTTCAAAGCTATCATAGTTGTGAGAGCCACTGGCAGCTTTCATTTGATGCTTTAATGAAGAAGGGCTTTTAGTACTCTACCACCATTCTAAATAATATTTTGAGAAATGTCTTTAGATCTAACTGATCTCCTTTATAATCCCAAGTGCTTTGTCTGAAGCTGTATTCTTAGAAAGGGACCAGGGCTACCTCCCTAGAAGGCCAGAGCTGCCCATGGTCCCAAAATGGTCAAGAGCTCCTGTTTGGAATTTAGGATCCTTTCTAGATATTTGAAATGTTGTCATTAATTAGTATTACTTCTTAGTATAGTGACCGTGTTGACAAAAACAGTGCGTACCCTTTAGAGAAATACACTGAGGTACTTACAGAGGAGGAAGAAAGGAATGTGAACAACATAAACCCTCGAAGAGAGGTAGAACTGGAAGGTGGCCCCAAATGGCAAGGCACCTGCACAGGACTTTGAAGGTGATGCATGCCTTCCAGGAAGCTTGAAAGTCACCAAGAGGAGGCGGCTGGAGTCTCGTCAGCCTGACGGCAGCCCTCATGGGGTCCCTGGGTCGCTGGATCTCAGCTGAACCGGGCAGCTCCCTGGTCCCTCTTCTTGGGGGCCGTGAGGTCATTTCCATCTGTTCCAGTCAGCTAGCCCTTCTTTTTTTAATCAGCCCCAGGCCGTGACCTGCTCCCCGCCCCCATCCCGCCCCCCTCTACATTCCTCAGGACCGTGCGGCCTAGCCTGTTGGAGCCCAGCGTTTGTCAGAGCTCCAGGCCGACCTCAGACAGGCCGTCCTTATTTAAGCTTACTTCATTGAAGTTTTAGCCTTTTGAGAGGCTTTTGAAAACCGCGGACCCTCTTCCCCTGGAAAACGCATCTGAAATTTGCACACGTTCTGCCCATTGGCGAACCCGAGTCAAGGACCTTTGCCAGTAAGGCCACATCCCCAAAGGCATGGCCTGCCCTGGGTGTGCTTGCGTGTCACGCACCGAGCGCCTCGTTTCTTCTCAGCCTCCCCGAGAGGGAGGTTCTGTTATTATCCCGTTTCCTGGAGGAGGAAACGGAGGCTTTTTCTGGGGGTGGGGTTCAGTAACTTGTCCAAGGTCATCGGGCTGAAGTGCGCCCGAGTCCCCGGATCTCAACTCGCGCAGTGCGAGTCTAGGCTGGAAGCATCCTAAGTGGAAGGTTCCTCGTTCTCTCCAAACCCCCATATCTTCTCTATCCTCAGTTACCAACCAGTCCCGCACCCCACCCCAGGCAGGAAGCCCTTCTTCTGTTTTAACCCCGTTCTCTGTTCTGAACAGTGTTGCCCATCGCTCTCTGAGGAGCGTAGTCCCGAGGGTGAGGCAGTGTCAGCCAGCTTTGGGGTGAGGAGAGGCCGATGGGTGGTCGTCCCGGTTTCCCACTGGCCTTCTCAGACCCTTCTCCTCTCCTCCTCCTTCCCGTGTCCTCCTTCACTGCTGGGGAACCCCGCCGACTGCTGTGTTGGCCAGAGCTCCCGTGTACAGGGCCGCCACGTCGTGCATGAGCCCCAAATGAACCGGCTTTTTCTTTCCTGGGCTCCCCACAGGCGAAGCTGGTTCGGTACATTTGCAAGCAGCAGCAATGCAAGCTGAGTGTGGCTCCTGGCGAGAGGACCTCAGAACTCAACAGCTACCCTCGCTTCAGTGACTGGCTGTGTACCTTCAATGTGAGGCCGGAGGTGGTGCAGGTAAGCAGGTCGCGGGAACTCGGGTCAGGGGGTGAGGGGAGGGATTGTCAAGCGAAGGGACCCCACACAAACCCGGGGACTGGCTCCGCCGTGACTGTGACTGAAAAGCCATGCTCTGTCCTCTCACAAAGGGGACTTGGGAGGACAGCAGGAGCGGGAGGGACCCAGGGTAAATGTGGCTCTGGCACGTGTCCTGGGTGCCACTGCCGTATGAGCTACACAGCCTGACCCCAGGGATCGTTCCTTGATTCACCATAAGGACAACAGCCAACACGTCTGGAAACATTGGCTGTGTGACAGGCACCGTGTTAAATACTTTGTCTGGATAATCTCCCTTAATTCTCGCAAAACCCCGTGAAGGAATTACTGTCGTTGCTGCCTTTTTATATTTGAGGAAATTAAAGCACAGGATGGTTACGTAACTCGCTTTAAGTCATGCAGCCAGTAAGTGATAGCTTTGGAGTTTGGAAACAAGGGTCTGAGTTTAGTGTTCTCTTATATCTGCTGTACGGTACTGTTTTCCCTCCTCGCTGCCCTCTTCCCTTCCCTCCAACCTCCC